AAAGACTTTTTGAAGTTTGAAAGCCTTCTACCAAAATAGCTTGTTTCAAACAAGCTTTATTTAAAGGTACTCCTTCCCACTTTTTTGTGATAAAAAAAACTCGATTTCGAGCCGAGCCTAAGATATGACCGCTTGACGTGTTATATGCAACTGGAGACATTATTCAACTCTATATACCTCAGTTTTACACAGTTATTGGACCGAGAAAATTTTTTTCATAGTAATCATGCGTAACCTTTTTTCTTTCACTTAACGTTACGCAAAACAGCAATTTTCTAAATCTCTGTTGCTTACGATCTCCTCTAAGTTTGTCCGATCGGGCTGAAATTCTTACCTTTAGTACTTGGAAGTATTCTCCAAAATTAAAAACAAATGTTTCCATTTTTGACATTTCTACTTGGAACTATCGGCTCCTGGAAACCAAGAGTCGGAGCCTAAACTCATATTTTGGCGTATTTCTCTTAAAGAAAAAACAGTAAGTGAGATTTTTGAAAAATCTTAGATTTACCTCTGAGGAATAGTCTTACGTATCTAAGAACAAATTTTCGGCCCCATCGGACAAACTTTAAGGGGGATCGTAAAGTATCCGGATGCGGGTCCTTGGAAAATCAGGGTTTTCCAGAGCACCCTACAAAAACTTACTTTAATTTTATTTCCTCGAACACGTATCTCTTTGCTTTTAGTGCTCTATTTGTGCTAAAATTTTCAGATTGATCGGTCGTATCGGCTTCGAGAAGCAGAAAGTGTCAAAAAAGACGAGGGTGGGGTCCTCTTAACCTTTTCAGCTAAAAATTAGCCATTCAGGTGATGCCACAAGATAGTGGACGCGTCTTGAATGCTGCGCAGACATATGAATGTGAATGTCGGATGTGATGAATGGATGTTGGTGTGATGCCCGTGTGAATAATGACACCTATTATCATCTACATCCATAAATGACATTCAATACACCTACATCCTCAATATGGCAACCTCAAAGGGATATTTATTCATCATCTATTGGTCAAAAGTTAGAGTCATTTCACTGAATTTTCGACTTCTAAGCATGGTATTGGCGAGAAATCGAATTACAAGCTTTTCAGCGAGATTTTGACTGCCAATGCACCAAAATCTCACTAGAGTTTCTCGAGAGTTTCAACAAAAATAAATGTGTCTCTCTCAGCATACTGCATTAATAACAGATTGGATAATTTTGTCCTTTCTGTGGCAAGATACTATTTTTGTGGATGCAGTATCTCGACAGAGACATATTTATTTTTGTTGAAGTTTTCAGAAACTCTAATGAGGTTTTGTTGTATTGGCAGCCAAAATCTCAACTCAAAAGTTTGCAATTCAATTTCTCCGCAGCACCATGCTTATGAGTCAAAAGTGTGGTGGAAAGCGCCTAACTTCTAACTAATAGGCCATGAACAAATTTCTCTGCCATATGCGCATCGAGATCTACCTATGACCACGACATGGAACCAGCAGTGCGGACTTAGTCGCAGTAGTGCTTTCGTAAATACTTTCAACATGAAATAAAAAGATTTTCGTAGTTCCAGAAGAGATGACGCCTGTGAGCAGTATTTGTGGATTTGCTCCTATAAACAAAAACTTAGTGATGCTGCCCAATTTAAAAAAAGATCAAATAAGTTTCAGATATCGTGCTATTATGAGAAATTACTTATAGGAAGCAAATTTTGGGACAAAGTGTAAATTTTACCATTTGAATGTCTTACTATCAATCTAGTTGAGGAAGTGTTCTTCAATGATGAAGAATCGAATGTAGAAGGAGTAACATTCTTACTAAAATCGTAGTTAAATGAGCCTATAATACAGATACCGAAGAGAAAATGTTGATAGCAATTTTTTTCTTATGTAATTTATTATTTAAATGTTTCACTCTTGATTTACCTGAATCACTGTTGTTGTACGGCTCAACGTGGCTGGTAGAAGAATCAATATTTGTTGAAAACTAGAAATTCGATGATCCTACAAAATGGACGGATACAAGGAAATGAAATCAAGATTTAGTCAATCAACTTGAGAGTTTCATTTTTTCAAAATCTTACATTGACCGATAGCAAATTGTTGTAGTAGACAGAGTGATAAAACGAAAAGAATGATATTCATTGTTGATTCGCTATGTATAAACAATGATGTATCTCATAAATCAACTACCTGCAAGTTTACAAAAGCTATGTCTTTTTATATGGCTACTTTGTTCCTTGTTGTTGCGTAACTTGATACATCGTACCACAGATGAGAGCAAGATAAAAATTAGATGCGAAATTTCTCAACAAAAAATATTGCAATACGATGATCGAATGTCTCATGACTCAATACTAATAGCCGAAGCTAGGCTGTTTCACTTTCTATTGGAAGCATGAAAATATAGGCAAGAATATACCATTACAAGTTTCGTAATTCTGTTTTTATTTTTTTTCAATCATCTTGATAAGCTGAGTTATTCGATACTGAAAGGAAGAGAATAACAATTTCTCCCGAAAAATTCACTCTGTTTAACAAATAAGCGCGGTTAACAGTTGCATATCTCTATTGCTACCACAGTAGAAATTCCTTACCTAGATATCGTGTTAGGAGAAACATTCCTTTGCTGTGTTACATTTTCTGTCTTCGGACCATTACAGTTCTAAAGGGACACTCAGCTAGGTATACCCGTAATCAAAAAAAAAAGAGAAGAAAGAGAAGACAAGCAAAATGATTAAACGGAGAAAGAAAGAAAAAAGAAGAGAAGGTAGAAGAAGACATGAAGATAAGGGAAGGCATCAAAGTGGAAATTAGCTCGTCGGCACAGGCTAAGAACTTCAGAAAACATAGCATAGCACTGAAAACCTTTCTCATCGAGCATCACAATCGAGTGTGCATGTAGGTGTGGCGTGGTGTGGGTGTAGGTATGGATGTGATTTGTCTTTCTTTAAAGCAAACACCCACACCCGCCCTCAATATTGTCGAATGATTGGTGCTAAAATAACTGCAACAGCTGGTACAGAAGGAAAACGAAAATTTCTACGTGAAAAGTATCAAATTGAGCATGTTTTTAATAGTCGAAATTTATCATTTGTCAAGGATGTACGTCGAGTAGCACCAAATGGTGTTGTTGATATTATTGTTAATACATTATCAGATATTTTTATAGAACAATCATTGAAATTACTTGCTCCACTTAGTCATTTTATTGAACTTGGAAAACATGATATGTATGCTAATTCAAAATTATCATTATTTTCATTGAGAACAAGCTGTAATTTTCATGTTGTCGATATTGTAACATTACAAAAATATTTTTCACAAAAAATTCATATTTTTTTAAATGATATAGCAAATTTATGTTTTCAACAAAATTTAACACCCACTATGCCAATAATAGAATTTGAAGCATCAGGTATTCAACATGCTTTTCTTACTTATTCTCAAGCAACACATATTGGAAAACTTGTTGTTAATATTGCTGCATCTCATAAAAGTTTACAACTTCCTAATGATTACATTAGCGAACAAACCTATCAACAACGACAAAGTTTGTTGATTTTATTTATCTATAAATCTAAAATTTACTCTCTTGATTTTTTTAATTTTATTTTCAGATGCGATGTTTTCAACTTTAGTATGTAATCATGGTATAATCGTCATTAGTGGTGGACTTGGTGGTCTAGCTATTGATATATCTAAATGGATGTTAAAAGAACGTGATGTTAAAAGAATTGTTTTATTATCAAGAAATATTAATGAATTAGATCATCAAAGTTCACAATATAATAATTGGATAAATCTTGAACAACTAACTCGATAATACAGTGCATCAGTTGAAGTAATGAAATTTGATATAAGAGAATTTAGTCAAGTAATCGATGCTTTTACTCTTATTAATACAAATAAGAAATATCCAATTCGTGGCATCATTCATAGTGCTATGATATTACATGACTGTTTAATAAATAGTATGACACAAGAAATATTGTCAAAAGTTATGAAACCAAAAATTCGAGGTGCATGATAGCTGATATTGGACAATCGAATTATAATGCTGGAAACAATTTTCTTGATGCTTTTTAGCTCATTGGAGATTCAATATTCGACAACTTCCAGCACTTTTTGTTAGTTTACCAGCCATTTCTGGAGCTGGTTTTCTTCATAAAAATGCCGAATCAATTGTTTAATTAATGCAAACACAAGGAGCACATTTGTTACCAGCAAAATATGTTTTCAAAATGATTGAACGATTTCATGATATTCGATACTAACAACGAGCTACAATGAATCTTTTTAATCCTATAATGTTTGTTGTTAATTGGAAAAAAGTCAGTTCTATGAGTTTACCAGCTAGACTTATTAATATTGCAACTGAATATATCGAAATCAAATATGAAAACGAACAAACAACTACAATACACAATGAAAGTCATCAATTAATTTTAGATGTTGATCAGACAACTATTAACATTCGTCTAAGAATTTCAAAACTTTTCGGTGCTCTAAGTGTACATCGTGTTGATTTAATGAAACCATTAATACATTAAGGTATGAATTCATTAATTGCTATTGAACTTCGTATATGGTTAACAAAGGGGGTGGGTGTGGGTATGGGTGTGGGTATAGGTGTTGGTGGGTGTGGGGGTGTGGGTATAGGTGTTGGTGGGTGTGGGTGTGTGGGTATAGGTGTTGGTGGGTGTGGGGGTGTGTTGGTGTGGGTGTACATAGTCATTCCATCACGCGCGCACACCCACACCCACAATATTCACATGTCATATGTACAGTGGCTGCGCGAAGGGTCTAGGACTTGGGGG